AAGTTTAGCACGTGCGCGTGGTTTCCATTGCGCCGGAAATAGCTGAAAGATGAAAATTACGTTTAAACCAAGCACACAATATAGTTATGGCACTTTGCGGAGTTTTTTGAGAACTTCGTTTTCTATCCCGTCTGGTCCTGGGGCTTTTTCCGCTCCGTAGGGCATCGATGGGTCGGTTACTTAGGCGACGTCCGTTAGCTCCGGTTCGTCGGCGGAGGCGTGCAGGCCGCTGCGACCGTGCAATGCACGCTTTCGGCGAAGCTCCGCAGGCGGCTTCTCCTCTACCGGCTGAATTGCGATTCGTAGGGAGTCGGCGAAAAGCTCCGCTTTCGTTCCTCGTTCGCCTCCACGTTGTCGCCGTTCGCGTTGCGCAGCGGCGGGACTGCAAACAGAAGATTTTGTTAAGCTCGCGTTAGTTGCCATAGTGAGCTATCTCCGGCTTTAGCTTTTTCAGTAGAGTTTCCCCACTTCGAGTTCCTGTATTCAGTTAAGGCCGATCGTCTACACGCCGCCTTAACTGATCAGAGCAACTTGCGGCCGGGGTGTCTGTGCGCTGCCATTCCGTTCGCGCCATGTTTTTGCGCTGTATCAGCGCGATTATTTCGCGGACGGAGTCCGCGGCTCGCTTGCTCGTTCCTCCCGGCGAAGGCGGCCGCCACTCAGGCTATCTGCGATTGCCTCCGCAAAGCTGCTTGCTCCTGGCTCGATCTGCTGCGGAGTCTGAGATGCGGCTCTGCTTTCCGGGAGAGGCGTTTTTCCAGTTTTTTCTGAAAACAAAGCCAATTAGTGCTTTTGCGGCGGGTGGAAGGCGCAAGCAAAGTTTGCAGGTCGTTGCGCCATCTCGGCAATGACTGGGAGGTGATCAGAGGAGAGCTCGCAAGCTGTGGTGAGGTGAATAGGGGTGCCAAGATCGCGGATGAGGCGATGTCCAAAAACGTCCGGTCGTCCTGCGTTGACAGGGGAAGTGCGTTGGTTGCATCGGGCCTATTCACCTCGTAGCCGTCCGTTTCGCGTAGTTTTTCAGCTGTCGGCCCACGAGGCGAGGTTGATGCCGGGAATTCTTAAGACGGGTGTTTCGCGTTGAATCACCGCCAGGAGGGTAGGGATGCGGGCGAGCGGCTCCAGAAGCGGCGTCGAGATCGCTCTGTTCTAGAGACGCACTTTTCGCTGGGTGGAGCGTAGCCGAGATGATGCGCAGCGGTCCCCTCTTCGTTCCGGACCGCAACCGCCGTGGCCTCGATTGTGCTGAAGCGGCGGCAGAAGCTAATCGTGATGCGCGATGTCGCGCCGCACTAGAACTGCCGTTCCGTCGCCCGGGTTTGCATTCGGGAGCCGTGCTGATCTGTTCTGACTTGTAAACAAACGTTAGCCAGGGAGAGAGAAACGATGCTTAAGGCTGCAAGGTGTGTTTCCGCCTAGCATCAGAATTTGCAAATGATGCTTTGCGGCGAATGCCGGCTAGCTTCCGCCTGTTTGTTCCTGCCTTACGATACCGCTTTGCAGCTCCAAAAGGCGAGGCGTGAGGCGAGCTGGAGCCTGCTGAAAAGGGAAATTGTATTTTTAATTTATTGTTTGATGGCCGTGTCAGCTATCACGGGGCGGGAGGTGGCGGGGGAGGTATCGGCCGGCTCCCTCGGACCGCTGCGCCAGACTGACCCGCGTTGTCTTCGCGGCGTACTTCAGCAGTAGTCCCATGACCACTTGCAGCATCAGCCTCGCGTTCAGTCGTCGGCGCACGTGCCGTGATGGCGACGGGTGATGGCGCGGCATGGTCAATGATGGGATCCAGGTTGTGAAGAGCGAGGGTCTTGCGCAACATCGTTCATGAACTTCGTCTGCTCTTCCATGTATAGAAGGCGGGAATTTCATTTCTTCTTCTCTTTTTGTTCCCACGTCGTCTCGCGGGCGGCCGTTCCGAAGTCAGGCGAGGGAGGCCCTGTAGTTGCGTGGGTTTGGGAGGGGCGGGTGGAGAGGCGGGGGCGTCGTCGCCACGCGTGCGCGCCGTAGCATCGTTGCGCAGCTGGCGGCGTGGGCCGCGGCGGCGGCGCGCGCGCGCGCGGCGTGCGCTGCGGAGCGGCTGCGGCGGCGGCGAGGGCTGCTGGCGGCGCGGCGGCGGCTCTATCCCGTGAGGGCGAGCGGTCGACGCGTCTCGGCCGCTTGAGGCGCGGCGGCGCTCGATGTAGGCCCTTAACGGCCCGCATCCTGCTGGCGGCCGCTCCTCTCGGCGGTCTCTGCGCCTGCATTGCCTCTGGAAACAGCGGCGCTGGTACTCGGGCAACCCTTGTACTAGCGCCGTGGTGATCTGCGCTACAGTTGACGCAGCCGCCCGCGACTCCACGGGCGGGTTGTCCCCGAGGGGGCAGGCCGCCGGTCGTGCGCAGCGCCGCACTTCCCACAGGCGCGGGTGGCCGGCGCAGTTGCCGCTGCACATGTTCCTCTTGCTGTTTCTCAATTTTTATTTTTTTCTTTCTTTCTTTTCCATTTGGTTAGCCAGGATTTATTTTTTAATGAGAGCTTTGTATATGTTATCTACTCATCTATTCCACCATGCAACAAATTTTTAATGAAATACATCAACATTGCATGATGATCCATATAATCTTTTGAAATCATATTGAATTTTGTTGACTTTCAATTCATATTTTATTTGGTGAAACTTTGATAATTATCTAATAAATAAAATTTTCTGGAAAGTACACTTTAGATTTAAAAATTAAATTAGTCAGTCAAAGACTATTATTTTTTTTAAATATTCTGCAATATTGTGTCAAAATCCTTTGGGGAGAAGATTTTTGCAAAGTAGTTAATGAAAAAATAGGTAAGAATAAAATGCAATCATAAAGTTATTTCATTATAAAAATTGTTTTGAGGAACATTAGTACCTACTTGAAGTAATGAGTGAAAATAAACTCTACAAATCTACTTAGAAAATCTTCTAAAGAATTTAAGAAAATGTCTTAGAATAGGAAAGGAAAAAAATGTCATCATTTTTTCCTTCTGTTATTTGAATAAGGCATTGTCAGAAAAATTGTATGAAGTTTTCAGCAGGCTAGCTTAGTACGAGTAATGAGATTTATTTTTAATGGTGCAGGCAAAATTTAATCACAAGAGGGCTTAGTTATGTTCCTTTAAAATTTGACAAGTTTGTCATAGAAACTAGGAATATTGAAGTAATTAAGAGATTACCCAAGTACAGATATAAGGTCGTGTGTTATGGGGGTAACTTAGTGATGATGAAAAGCATTTTTTTTTACTTTAATTACAAAGTTTCTTAATTTCAAAAAGGTGTCAATCATGCTTGAATTAAATCCTTTATAGGCTAACTAATTATTGAAGGTTATGATTGTCTATTGTAGGTTGGTAGGATTATAAGGTTTCTTTTATTATTGACAATCATTTGTAATTAAATTTCTAGGAATTGATATAGAGAATTTTAATTATCATTGATTGTCAATAATAAAAGAAACCCTATAATTCTACCCGGCTAAGTAAATATTTTGAATACATGAGAACAAGAAAAATGTTGTAATAGAATTTCAACTCTGTTGACCAATATTCAAACTATATCATAATTTTTCTGGTGAGTTTATTGAGAAGTGTATTGCAATTTGCACATGTTGGAATCGTAATATTACTTTTTTCTGCCTTGCAGCATGAAGATATGTCTGTGTCTTTACTTGACTTAGTATTAGCTACTGAAAGAGTTGATAGAGAATTTCGTTCTAGTGGCTTAGAGGAAAAACACAAAATATTTATAAAGGACCTGATTCTTGGCAAGAAAGATAATGAAAGTGATAGGGACTTCTTATTTCAAGTAAGTAGTTTTTAACAGTAGATAGTTTCACAAAAGTCAGATCTCAATGCATAATACCTAATATTTAAAAAATTGAAAATTATTAGAGGTTGTTCTGCAAAAATGCAAAGTCAGATAGATAAGAAAAGTATGCAGGGGTGGGTATAAATACTTGTATTTGAAAGTAAAGCAGCAAGTAAGAGCAGCGGCAGAAATTGCAATAATGATACCCAATAAATGGAAAACGAGTATTGAAGACTGTAAGTTTATTTCCCCAAGAACAATAACTCTCAAACTCTGCATCACAGAAAGGAAATTAAATGTCATAGGAGTTTATGCATGAACAGAAGGAAAAAAAGAGGAATCCGGACAATTTTATAGTGACTTTCAAGCTACAGTAAACGAATGTCAAAAAAATGAATATCTCATCATAGCAGGAGACCTAAATGCTCAAATTGGTAACCAGATAAGTGGCAATATTAAAGGAGCGGAGGGGGAAACAACAATGGAAAACTGCTTATTGATTTCTGTCTTTACCAATTAAGAATAACAAATTCATTTTTTAAATATAAATAAAAACATAAATTTACATGAGAAACAAGGGAAACTAAATCAATCATTGACTATACAATAGTAAATGTAGAATTATTCAATAAAATAAGGAATACAAAAGTTTTCAAAGGAAAAGAATTAAATACAGATCACTACCCACTAGAAACAAAACTAAAATTCAAGCAACAAGAAATTAAGAAGAGAAGCCAGAAAATTAAATCAGCCCCAAAGTTGAAAAATTATTTACTTGAGGAAAGAAATATGAGACAGTTATATGAAAATCAGATTACAGAGAAATTACAGATAGTGAATATGCATACTATAGACATATTTTGGACAACACTGAAAAAAGCAATATTACTTGCAGCAAAGGAAGCTATAGGTTTTAAAAAGCCAAAGGAAGAGAATCAGAACTTGGAATAATGAAATACAAGAAACCAGAGCCAAAAAAAGTAAGCATATCAAAAATATCTTTGAACAGATAGTACAAAAGACTGTACTTAAAATAAAAGATATAGAGCTGAGACAGGAGGAGTAACATGGAGTTTTAGAAGAGAAATTTGTGATAATGCTAGAAAGGAATATCACAGGCCCCTAGAGAAATGATTTTAAAATATTAAAAATGCTGAGATCGAACCCAAGAGACGAAAACAATTTGGACCTAATCCTGAAGTGCAAGTTGGTAAACCATTACACAAGTCTTTGGAATAGTGACAGAACGTCAAGTACAAGCAGAAATTATACTGATATTACTGAACAGTAGAGTACAGGAAATAACTATAGAAGAACTATAAGCAGTACTAAAAAAAAGCCAAAAATCGGGAAAATCCAGGTGTGGATGAAATCCTAATAGAACTAAAATACAGAGGAAATTGTCTCAATAATACCCTAACAAAACAACTTAACGAAGCTTGGGAAGAGTATTCACTTCCAAGAGAATGGCAGATAGATATAGTGATAAATTTACACAAGAAAGGATCAAAAACAGATTGCAATAACTACAGAGGAATCACTCTCCTGGAATGAAGTTAATCTTCCAAATTTTCTCCTCTTCATAGATTTTGAGAAAGCCTATGATAGTGTGAACAGAAACAAAATGTGGGAAATACTAGAAGATGAAGAGATACCTACAGATTTAATAAAAGGAATGTAGTGTAAGTACACAGAGTCTCAGATGAAAGTAAGAATGAATGATGGAAGCAATACAGAGACTTTTAGAATCACCAGAGAACTGAGGCATGGGTGGTGTCTATCACTATGCCTTTTTAACATATATGCAAACCACATGATCAAAAAGTGAAAAACACAAATGACATGATCCTGCACATGAGGGCAGCAAATGAACTTCATAAAATAGCCTAAATGTGACATGAAATTCTCGACAAATAAGTCTAAAGCTTTGGCATTCCAAGGCAAAGAAATGAGGAGGGTTGACATTATTATAAATGGAAAATATAATAAAACAAGAAGGAAAATTTAGGAATAATCAAGAAAAACTCTGGAAGAGATATGACAGCAGAGACAAAACTAAGAATACACCACATAACACCTAAACCAATGTTAATGTATGGATCAATCAGATATATGGACCCCAAAACGAAAATACTGCCAGAGATTAGAAGCTACACAATTGAGATTTTCCGGCACCTGGTAGGAATTACACATTTAGATCAACAAAGTAACACTGAAATCAGAAAAAAACTAAAAGCAAAATATATAGTAGATGACATTAAAGAGAACCAGACGAGATGGCTTTCACATGTGCAAAGAATGCAAGTGAAAATATTTCCTAAAGCAGTTTTAAACTATAAACCCATAGGACAAAGCAATATAGGAAGACCCAACAAAAGATGGTTTGCTTAGGAACATCTGGAGGAATCATCACCAGATCTACTGTCTTTTAACAGGAACAGACATCAGAACTACTACCTTGCTGTTCATGATGATGATAATGGTTGTATTTGAAATATTTTTGAGGTTTTTATTTTAATGATGTATTTTAATACATAAAGTAGGTGTATTTAAAAAAAGAAATACTTGAAGTGTGTCAAATACAGACCAAGAAGAAGATAGTTTAAAACAAGAATAGGTTCTTTTTGTTTGATTCCGCTAGTAAAAGCACCTCATTTAAAGAAAAATAAATGCTCCTTTCCATTGTTAAATTTGGATTCTCTTCATTTTTAAATGATAAATCTAAATCTTTAAAAATGCTGGACAATTATTCATTAATAAAAAAAGGCGTTAATTCATTATAACACTAGTTTATATTTATCCACTTTAATAGAATGACTGTTTTCCTTTGTAGGTTTTGTACATTCGCCAACTAGGGATTTATTATCTGGTGATTTGGTTGAAAAATTAGTTGTTTTAAAAGAAAATTCCATTTCTTTATGTTATACAAACTTTTGATATCGTTTTATATTTCAAAATGTTTGTACGTATTGTTACAATACATTACAATAGTTATTGTTCAGAAATATGTAAGACTGTCAATCACTAAGTTATTCTAATTGAGAATTACAATATATTGTTGCAAATAAAATACAATACAAAATTATTATGTATTTACAGTATTTGAAGTATTTTAAATATATAAGTATTTAGCACATCAGGCCCTGATGTATTTTGTATATGTATTTAAATGCTAATTTATAAAGTGTTTAACTACTTAATTTAAAGTATTTTGCCCAACGCTGAGAGTGATGATGATCACTAAGGCTCGGAATTTAAGGCTGTATCAAAAGGAGAAATATGCATGAAAATATGCTCTACTATGTGTAAAATATGCACTAGAACTAATAAATTGTACTCTAACATTTAATTTTCATCCATTCATGGACAATTATCAAACTTTTAATTTTAACAATTAATTTTTAATTTTTGTCTCTACTTAGAAGTAATCCACCAATAATTTTTAAATTAAAATATAATGATTTCATTTGTATCATGGAAGTATCAATTTCAAAGCCACAAATTCTTTATCAAAGATAAATTATCACATCATTCATAATTGAACAAATTGTTTCTGAGTACCAGTGCCATCCAGTCATAAAGAAGTTCAGACAAACAAAAGACATTTCCAAGATTTCTCATGATTTACATTCACATTCACATTTGTGAAGTGTTCACTTTTCAGTTTGAGGAGGCAAAAATGCGTATTAATTGAAATTCCAAGGGAAATATGCCACGTTAAGAACAAATAAGCAATAAATTATAAATAATAACTTAAATATAATGGAAATATGATGCATTAACACAAAATGTCCTAAAAATGCACTAATATGCTTTATAAAATCACTGAATTTCTGTTCATTTGATTGTGTTTTGTGGATATTTGATAATTAGCATATTATAAAGCTCATTATTAAAAATACCATTTAACTCACATAAGTCAATTCACTTGCATTGTAGATTAACACTGGCCCAGACATTGGTACAACATACATCATTATGACATTAAGTGACGCACTTCAACGCAGTGCTCATGGAACACAGGCATAAGTAATATGATATTGCACCTTCCATCCTGCCAAAACCTCAGCCATCACATGGAAAACTGAATAAATACACCACATCAAAAGAAAAAAAATCATGAACAGATTTTGACTCTTATAATTGAGTCACACATGAAGGAAACAACTCGCTACTACAAGAATATGGAGACCAATTGTTTGGTGGTACTGTCGCCGAAAAAACTTAAATTTGCCACTAACACCCCTCATTGATTAGTTTAGATGGGTAGATTCAGCATTTTCCTATAAATTAGTTTTTGGAATATTTTAGAATAGAGATTTAGTCTGTTGTGCTTCATGCAGTTCAATAAAGTTACCTAAGTACTTGCACATTAGTTTTTGTTGTCCAATCATTTTCTAATGAGTCATTTTGGGATAATATAGAATTAAAAAATTGTATTTCATGATACTTCTGAAGTTTGAATGCAATATGAAGAACATTACACATTTATTGCTAAGACAATCTTTCTCAGCTTGCTGGCAAATCACAAAACAAATTTTGGTCATCGTTTGCAATATTTAAATTGAGTACATGCAGAAACTGAAAAAACAATTTTATACTGTTACTGCTTCAAATTTGAATGATTATCAGTTTTTTTCTAAATTGGATTTTGGTTAAATTGCAAAGCTGTAACATAGAATAGATATTTAAAATCATGGAAATTGCATTATATTAGTAAGGTGGCCATGTTTTTCATAAATGGTTATGTTAGTACACTTATATGATTGATTTTATTTAATTATTCATTTGTTATGATGTGATTTTTCCCAGATCATCTGTAATAATGAAACCGGTATTGATGTAGACAAGTGGGACTATTTACTAAGAGATGGAAAACAATTAAATATTAATGTAACTTTTGATCCTCATCGATTAATGAAATGTGTAAGAATAGTGAAAGTGTCTGAAAAATACCATATTTGTTATCGCAAAAAAGAACAGATCAATATTTTTCACATGTACATGATGCGAGCTGAACTACATAGAATGGCTTATCAGCATCCAGTAGTCAAAATGATAGAAGAAATGTAAGTTTATTTCGGATATTTCCAAAAATTCTGTGTGTGCTCCAGAAAAATAAATTACTTTACTCCAACTTTATGAATAAAATTTTCTTTTCACCAAATTGAAATTTTGAGTAAATGTACTTTATTGTCTTCCCACAGGTGGCTCGATGCAATGAAAGAGGCCAATTCAAATGGCTATTCATTCAAAGGGTATGTGCAAGTTATGGAAATACTAAGAAGTCTTAATGAGAGAGAACAGTTGTAGTGTTTGAAATGCTATTTCTTTTAAAGGGTACATTTGCTGTCAAATCTTTAATTCTAAATAGGACTTTTTGTGCAACTATCTGCATCCTGATCAGTAGTAATTTTTCTTACATGACTTCACCTGTGCAAAACTAAAAATTATATCCATGCAATGCTGGTGTAATATCAGCTGAGGCTTGGAGCCATTGAATGTCACTGAGGGGACCCATTCTTTAAAAGGCTAGAGGAGACACTTGGTAGGTGGGGCACCCTTTGCAGTCCTCGTTCCCTCTACAGAAGATGTGGTACCAGGACAGAAGACCTACAGAGCCTCTCTATCTTATGCTGCTACTGTATCCTTGCATTTACAGATATATTTTAGCATAAAATGTAAATTATACATTTAATCATCAGTTTTTTGTTTGTCTACAGACTGAAGTTGGGTGAAATCCACACAAACCCAACTATTTACTCTTCCTTAACAGACCATATATTTCAAGATATTCTTTGTTCTGAAGATGAAAAGTATTTTCAAGCTCGAAAATTATTGGAAAGAATCCAAACAAGAAGATTATACAAAATGATTCATAGAACACCACTGGTATTGTAGAACTTCCAAACAATTTTAAATCATACATAATATAATAATAATAATAATAATAATAATAATAATAATAATAATAATAATAATAATAA